TTACATTCACACATTAAATAAGCTTTCTTTGAAGAACTATTAGGCAATATATTTCAGGCCCTTGGATGCTGAAAATAATTAAAATCTGTTTAAATACATCAAGGGAACTTGACAACATTAATATGGATCTGGTGTTAACTGCATTTGTCACACGAGTCAGAACAGTGTCCTTCTGTGGCTGGCCCTCCCCACAGGCACGTGCGGCACAATGCAGGACCCAGACCAGCGCACACCATGAAATGGGAGCATTCCCCCTTTGTGTCTGTGATTTCCATGGCCAAGGAGCACTGAGCCACTGACACAGCTTTGAAGTGCTGTGCTGCTTCTGCACAGGAGGACAGCTGGACTCATTTAATGCATTTAATGCTGTCTCCTTTTTTTTTTTTTTAAGTGACACAGACTTCCTAAAACAGTTTTGAAACAAAGGTGTAAGATATGCTTGCTTCTCTCATGACTGAGATAACTTTTTCTTAATTTTTTAAAAGGTTTAAATTCATGCCACAAAGTGAGAAAAGGAATATTCTCCATGAAACATTTATTCAAGAGTGTTAAATATTATAGAAAGCTTTGCTTAACTTCCAGTAGTTAAAATTGCATGTAATATACTTATTAGAAATAAGCACCGCCAAAACTTGACAACAACTTCACATGTATTCAAAAAGCAAAGTGCATTTTCAACTTCTTCCTTATCGTACATTTCTCAGCTCTGAATTCCTATGAGGTGTCACATCATTTAGACAGAAAATCTTAAGTTGGAATTCACTAAATGACTTAAAAATTGAAATCTAATGTTTGCTGAGGGAAAGCACTGCATTTTACATAAATGCTAATATGCTGCATAACAATACACATTTAAAAATGATATAAAATATTTCCGTGTGATAAAAAATAATTACATGTTATTCACTTAATCATAAAGAGTAGATTAAAAATTAAACAATGACTATTCTTTATGGAGACTTTCTCCCTATGTAACACAATTAATTGCTGCCAGACAAAATTTTTGCTAGATACAATTTTCATAATAAAAAGATAATTCAATAAAAATGGAGTTAGCCTGCAATAAGTAACAGAGCTATTATGTATTATTTCATATTTTACATGTATATTTCCAAATGAAATATTCAAATCTCAGTTTAGAAACTACAATAGTTCTACTTTGGTTCTTCATGGTATAAAAGGATCTTTTAATTCTGATAACATGTAGGAGTAGGATTCAACTGTCAATTGGTGGTTTACCAGGTCACCATCTGTGTTTTACGAGAAGGACCAGGATAAAGTTCTTATAAAATTTTCCAGCAAATGGCGCCAAACAGGCATCTTTCACAAGTTAGCTAATGATGAAAAGAATGCAGATTTATATTTATAGAAACCTCAACTGAAATATAGCTAATTGCAAAATAATTCATAATTTACGTTAGAATTATATAATGAAGCAAATGAGGTTAAGGGTGTTATTAAAAAAAATTCCAATTCTAAAAATCTCAATTGGATTGAAATATATGACTTACATGTTTATTTATCCAACTGTAATTTTCAAAAAACACATATGATTTCCTGGTTTCTGTCAGGGAACAGACTTGGTCCATTCCTTTGGACTACATTCCACATGATGCTGAAGAAATACAGTTAAAATCCACTATGGAGGGAAAGGAGGAGGTGGTGACGCTTATGCCAGTCCCTTCTAGTATCTCATGGTCTCCATGTTCTGTTACGATTATTTAGATACTAAACTGGCAAAAATACAGCGAATTTTTATTAAGTATGGCTTGCTGCCTCTTTGTGGAAATAATGTTTTGCTAGAACCTAGCCACACATATTGAAAAATTCTGTCATTGCCTTTGTGTCTCCAACAGTAAAGTTATATGAGTATGACAGTAAAGACGTGGCCTGCAAAGTGTAAATATTTACCATCTGGTTCTTCACAAAGGAGGTTACTTTCCCTTGGTCTAGTTTACTGTTGCCTAATGCAAATGAAATGCAAACCATGTTTATAATTTTACATTTCTGAGTGAAAATCTAGTGAGCAAAATAAAATCAGGTGGAACTGATTTTAATAATTTGTTTTATTTATCTCTACATTTCTAATATATAATCACTTTAATGTGTTTTAAATACAATTCAAACATCCAATGGCTACATGTGGCTAACATATTAGACTGTGAAGTATAAAATAAGTGACTATACAGAACTACTGGAAGACCCCTATACAAAAATTCAGTTTTTTAAAAAAGGGCATTGTGAGGCCACTGAAAAGAACCTTAACTATGGCAGTTAAAAGTAATTCTGTTTATCCTTTTCTTCCTTTACACAAGAAGGAGATGTAGAAAAAGAATTTAAAACCAATCCAAACATAGCTGAACTAGTTCTTTTTCTCCTTAAAATATGATGACGCTACAAAGATTTCTGCCTTGTACAGATGATTTTCATGAGGTTGTTTATTCCCTACTTTGAAGCTAAATTCCTCCCACTGCGATTTAAACAGGTTCTATCTTGTTTTATCCTCAGCTGAATCTAAGGAAAGCAGTTCCCCATCACTAATATGATATTGTATTCCTTTAAATCCTTTAAGACTCTGACCCTCCTCCCTATCCCAAAGATTTTTCTTTGTCTGGCTGCACAAATTCAACTCCTCTAGTATTTTAAATCAAACCCATTTTCAGAAATGTTTTATTGTATTTCTCACTCCCTTTTAAGCCCCTCACCAAATCTTTGAGTACTCTTCAAATGCAAGAAAAAAAAAAGTGGCTACTGAATTCTAATACAGTCCAACCGTTGCCTAACAGAAAGACCTCACCACACAGATCTCACATGCTTCTGTTGTATTTAAACAATTTCCTCCATTGTTGGTGAATACATCACTGTGTGTCACTAAAATACACACACATACGTATCCTTAAATATGTATTGTATCTTGCATGGTGCTAAATTTTACAGATTTATTGGCCTTTATTTTTCCCAACTAAAAAAAGAGTGTAATCCTAATCTCAGAACTGAATCTTTTCTAATAAAAACGCATTAAGAAAGCATATAATGCTAACAGGAAGAATGGCAAACTTTTAAAAATTCTTGAATTTCCATACTTAAGAAATGTATTAATTAAAGAAGGCCAAAATAATCTCAACAATCATACTCTTAGAGGATGCAGCACTGAAAGAACAAATGCATGCAGGTATACAATGTACAAGCTATGCCTCCAGTTAACTAAATTCAATAATGACAGAAGTTAAGGAATGAAAGTTAGCAATTACAGTCCTTCAGGTATGGGCCTACAGGTCAAAAATAAGGTCAAAATCAGCCTCCCGTGGGAAAATAAAACCAGCATTCCTTTGCTTTCTGAACTCAGGAAACAAGCACGATTATACAAGAAAATTAAATCTAAGTCTACTTTTATCATCACCTTACAGGTCGCTAGCTCTGGTTTTCCAGGTTGGCCTTATCAGCTCCTAGAGGCTGCAGGCTGCTGAGGTGACTGTTCTTTGCTTCCGTTTCCACCAGCAGAGGCACACTCTGTTCTGAAGAGATGGCTACGAAGGCACATCAAGGTGAGAACGACTGGCAATCTTCTGGGCTCATTCCCCGGACTTTACTCCCACTCTGTTTCATGTAACTATGATTCAATGCCATGCCTTCTCTTCAGTTGTGACATTAATATTTCATTATGTCTACATAATTATGTTTAAAATTATTAACTAAATGGGAAAAAATAGTCAATCCCCTAATGACTGACTTTACTATCTGAAGGAGGGAAGTATAAATAGAAGTAGGTATCTACATGGAGTCTTACCAAAGGGAAAATCAAAATGTAAAAATTTTCAAAGATCAACCTTGTGCAGGAAGCCAAAGACTAATGGGTTGAAAAAGTTTACTTTATCCATTCTCAAAGCTCAAAAAATGCATTTCCTCTGGCTATGATGCTATGTCCAAGAAGAAAACATGTGTTAAAATTTGTGTTACACCTGTCAACAACTGAGCAATGGATATGATTTCAGTTATACTACTATAAATTTAAAAATTATTGTTCTAATTTATGCATTCATATATAAAGTATTTGGTTAGTGTTACTCAGGTCTATAGACAGGTAGGTTGTAGAGTCACTGATAAATTAGTCCACATCAGGTCTCAAACCTGCTCAGGGTTATATGCTGGCATGCTGCTCCCCTCGGATACGCTGAGGCACAGCTTCATCAGCCAATTGGATTTTCTTTATGACCACATACTTTTTTTTAACTTCCAGAACTACACATGGGACTATGAGGTAAAATAAGTCATATAAAATCTTTACTAATGAATGACATTTTAAAAATCTTCATAATACCACTTATATTTTTACATATAAACACATATAAGCACAATCAACTATATGATGCAGTCATTAAAAATAACATATATATATATAAATTATAAACATATGTACATGAAAAAGGTACTAGTATAATAATATACTAAGGTGATAACTTGAAAGTATAAAGCCAAAGGAAAGGAAAAGAATCTCTTCAAAAAGTCAAGATGGAACTAATGTGTCTAATTTATAAGTGAAAAATAATAAAAACTCATCCAAATTTCTGCAAAGTTCATGGACGTGGTTTGTAAGAATAAACGTAAACTCCATCACTGTGCAACACCCAAGGCTTAGAATACCATGCTACGATCTAGTTATTTCTGATACCTTTTGATTTATTTGCCTTAAGCATTTCTATAGGAAGTAAAATACTTTCAACTGAAAAAAAAAAGAATGCACATTGCAAACTATAATTTATTCACCCTCCCCCTTGAAAGTCATCTGCAATTCAGGAGTTAATTTAAAAATGATTATTTCAATCAAGAACAAGGTCATAACCAGTAGAACAGTCATTCAGTTATCCTGACATAAAGTCACCTCACAGAGACAGTGGCCCCTGTGTTCTTGCTTTTGTGCAACAGTACTACATATTCATGAAGGCTTCTTCGTTTTTACTCCATTTGCTAACGTTCTTTGTGAGCAGCAGTTTGCAGCTTACCTGGCATGAAGACTCCACCTGCAGACCAGGGCAAGGTACTGGGCCAAGTTGGTAGGAGGCTGACGATCTTTGTTCCACACTTTGGTGCTTATGTGCCTCTGAGGAAGCACCTAGTATAGACTCCCGCTTTAGAAGTAGAGAGTCATCGCAACAATTAAGAATAATTCTTGCTCTCTCTCCTGTCTCATGTCTTTCCAAAGTGCCTGGAAAATAAGATTAGGAGCAACAATTCAAGAGACATATTTACTCCAACAAAAGAGAGTCAAAGTGTTCTCCGCAGAAGAACCATAATCCTTCAGTTATCATATCTTATTACCTTCTTGCAACTAAAAACTAGCCTAGAAGCTTTTGCTAAATTATTCAAATTACCCTCTCATAAAGACCGAAATCGTGAACTTGAGAAGCTTCTCTTTCTCTTTGTGCCTTTTTTCATTCAGTGAAATCAACAGGATATTCAATAGTCTTTAACAGTAAAATTTCCCACTGATTATACAGTATGCAAGTGATCAATAACAAACAACTATGGAATATTTTAGTGCTGTCCCCTAGTGTTCCAGCTCACACACAGCAGAGAATCCACAGTGCTTAGCTTCAGTTCCAGGGCCTAAAATGTTTCTATTATCTATCTATAGATAGATGCACAATGCAAATAAAAAATAAAGATGTTTTGGATACCACCTTCCTCACAAAAGCACACCCTGCAGGCTGTTATAATTTTTATGGTCCGTTTACTGTTCAATCCTTCTACTTTTACGTCTTGTGCTATTAGAAGGGGGACAAATCCTTTAGCTCTTTGCCATCCTCCCAACTGTACAACATAACGTTACTGGGAAGTTCAATGTAAAGTTAAAAGGGACAAGTATAAAACGGAGAAATGGAACCAATGGACCAGAAAGTGAATCACAAACAGTTAAGAGCCTTCATAAAATCCCATACCATATGGCTAACAGAATTCCAATAAGTATGAATTAATCACATTTTTCATGAGCATATGTCAGTTATTCATTATTTTGCATTATTCATATTGTATTAAATGTTATTTCCTTCTGAGCAAAAATATTAAAGGAAATAAATTTGATAAATAAATCAAAAATAAAGGTTACATGTATTTCCTTCTCACAAATGAGAAATAATTCTACTATTAGATAATAAGAAAGATAAGTAGCTTTTACTTATAGTATTAAGACTATATCAAAATCATTAAACAGGAACATTATAATCATATATCACTATATCTTTAGATAGGTGAACAGACAGGCACATTTAAAGATTAAGACTCTTCAATTCTTATTTTTTGTCCTATTTCTAAATCCTTCCTTTACAGCATCTAAGCTATAATCATAGAGTACTCTACATTCTGAACCATAAAGAACTACCAGGTAAACCTCAGGCATAATTTTTGTCTTCAGTCCCTTAACCATATTTTTACACTGTAACATTTCTACATTCATAAATCAACATCTTTAACATCTAAAACCCATAAGCATGTTATTCTTCTAAGCTTTTCTTTTCTACCAAGATTGATCAATCCTCAACAAAGTTGGCAACGAGATTAAGAAAATCTTTTCTCCCAGGAATGACAGTAAGTGTCTCAAACTAAGATGATAAGATTTCTGGTTCCAGAAAAAGGCTGCATTCCAGAACTAATAATTGTGTCACCTGTAAAATGCATTGTCTTTCTATGAAACTGTTCTTTGAATGTGGTATCACCATGGGCATTTACTTCTCACAAGTTTTCCATGAGTTGTATTACATTTTTAAAATGTTTTCAGAATTCTTAGAAAGAAATCACTGCACTTTAATGCAGATGGCTGTATACCTTCTGTTATGTATTTTACACATTCACGTTTTATTCTAGACCTAATTTACACCTGATGTCATACACAAACATATCTGTTCCTTGTATTTCTTATAGTTTCTAATGGTAAAACAGTGAGCCTCCAAACTCCAGGTGTTGTAACCTATTTTCACTCGACCACAGATAGGCAATCTGCTGTCATATCTATTGTGTGCCCTGCAGTGTGAGAGATGCTGACAATGTATAGTTGACAAAACGGGCAAGACCACAGTCCCCTTGGAGCTTCCTTAAAATCTAATGGTGGGACAGAGGGAACAAACATCTGAAAACTAATTTGTTATAATACTGGCAGTAACACATTAGCTATGTCTACTCCAAGACTAAAAATATCCCATTCTAACAAAAAATTATGCACTTGGTTTTCTTAGCAATCTCTTCTAAGATGGTTAGTTACAGGAAATTTGAAAATAACAGACATGGTTTTGTTTCAATGAACTGCTTGAAGAACAAATGTGCATACAGAGAGGTAAAAGTCAGTCAATTTCTTAAAATGTTATCACTGACAAGCCTGCAAACCACACGCATAACAGCAAATTGACTTTTTTATAATAAGGCCAGAAAAACATCTTTTGGACACCTTTGATTAAAATTTTAACTGTGGATAGGGATTCCCATATGTCCTAGGTATCACGGTATTATTGTCTCTTATTTCCCCCAATTCAATCTTTTCTGCTTGATGCATGGAAAAAGATAAGAGCTCTTTAAATATTTTCCTTCGGATTGCTGAAGCACTGTTAATTCTTGTGGACAGAGGGAGCTGGGAAGATGGAACAGAAGCAAAGGCTCTTCCTTCTTGGTTTATATGTGTTCCACAACAGTGGAAAGCTTCCCAGTGCAAGGCTCAGGACAGCTCCACAGCACAGCCAGCAGTTGCCTAGTGGTACACACCTGGGGCAACTGTGTAACATAGTACTTTTTGGACAACTTTCCCTGGTGCTCAAGAGGGCACACTAAAAGCCCCACCACAGTAGCTCCTCTGCTCCCAGCCTCTAGTATCCTGTCTGCAAGGTTGGGAGCTCTGATCTCAGGGAGGCACTTCCCTGCTCAGGCTGTCTCAGCTGTAGGGATGGGCATGGTTCTTTCTTTGTGTCAGTCCTATACTGTCGAGAGTTCGCTTCACTTCTCACTAATCAATCCTTCATGTTCAACTATTGCACTGATACACTTTATTTTATATTAAATTTTCTCTATTCAACTGAATTTGCTATTTTCTGTCCAGAGTAGACAGTCCTTAATATTTATGACGTTAAGTCAGTCTCAATGCAAAACATTCTTTTAAATATGTCGCTAAAGTTGTGGAATTCACTTCAGAAGTCTGTATAGTTTTGGGAGATAAAGAAAAAGGGAAAAAAAGGATCTCATCTTCTGGTTTACTTCCCAATTGCTGCGGATGACTGGGGTGGGGCTGGGCTGCAGTCAAAATCCAATGCAGACACCTTAACTCAGGTGTCTTCCACGAGTTGTTGACTCACTCAATTTATATCACTTTCCCAAGGTCTGCATGGATAGGAATCTGGAGACTAGAGATATAGTCACATATCAAATCCAGGTATCTGACATAGGATGGGGCATCTTTAGTGCTATGCTAAATGCCCAGCCCTCAGGGACATATTGAAATGGTTAGAGGAATCCTATAGTAAAAGCAGTGACTAAGGAGGAACAGCAAAAAATACAAGAAAGATTTATGGCAAGATCCTTTGCAACTTGGATAAGCTGTATTGGGCAAGAACCAAGCTAATATTGCTTCCTGATATTAACTGAAGGTTTGCCAATCATTTAATTGAACTTCTAATTTCAGAAGAACTCCTGCTTCCCAAAGTAAGTCCAATGATAACTAGAATTTACTGTCACCATATTTCATCAGGAATATTGTGTGACCACATGCCTGCCCTTCCTCTGTATCAGTCTGAACATTACAAGGAGAGCTGTACAGCCACATGAGAGGTTTCACAAGGTTCACAGAGCGGCCGGCACTGTGGTAGAGCTGCCACCTGCAATGCCTGCATCCCATATGGGCACTGGTTTAACTCCCAGCTCCTCCACTTCCCTCCAGTTCCTTGATCATGGCCTAGGAAAAGTAGTGAAATATGCTATCCAGTTATTCAAGTGGAGAGCTGGAAGAAGCTCTTGCTTCCTGCCTTCCACCTGGCCCAGTCCCGCTCATTGTGGTCATCTGGGAATTGAAACAGTGAATGTGGGATCTCTCAATCTCTCTTCTGTCCCTGTAACTCTTTCTAATAAATACATAAATCTTGTTTACTATATCATGGAAAATGAATCTGAAAGATAAACTTAGCTTGGCATAAAAATCTGAAATTCATGCATATTTATTTCATGATATATGTCTCCATGAACTTTTTGAAGACTACTCACATTAGTTAAATAATATTGAAAGTTAACAAAACCATTTCCTTTCACAAAGTAGATGCAAAAAGAAAACCACATTAGTATCTACTCCATGGAAAAAATTCATTGTATAAAATGCTCATAAGTAAGTACATCACATTTTTATTATTTTATTAACATAAGTTTGACTCAGCTTGTAATCCTAAACTATTCAGTGGTGAATCATAGTATGAAAGCAATCATAAAAGAGTACGGAAAAACTAACATCTTGATAAAAAAAAAAAGAGATGACTTTGCACTGATTCAAAATTGTGTATGGCATCAGACTGCCCTGTGCACAAATCACTCTCACCTGTAAGTTCCATTCTCACCTAACAGATTTTACCTTTACTGGTTATATAGCTATGTTTGGAAAGCTAGTTTTCTAACACATTTTCTGCCTGTCTCCTCATCTGTGTAATGGGGATATTAATTCCTACATGGCAGAATGAATCTGAGCACTGTCTGAAAGGTGGCCAGAGGACCTGACACACAGTGAACACTGTGTTACGAAGCAGCACTTCCTGCACATGGCAAAGGCTTTCACTCAGCCCCTCGCTGGCTCTGTAACGAACCTCCTGGGCTCTGGTTGTCTGATCTAGATGACGTCACTGGGTGTAGGGCCCTTCAAGTTCCCAAGTCCCTCCTAGCTGAGACTGGAGTCCTCTCAACCGGCCTTGCTTTCAGGACAGTTTATAATGAAGATCAGAGTAGAATTTTATATCTGATTTATCTCTAACGCTCTTCAGTATCCCAGGACAGAGTCTGGCATAAACTAAAAATGGGGTAATAATACTTAATGGACTATGACATCATCTGCTTGGATTTTTTGTTTGTTTGTTTGTTTTGTTTGTGCGTGTGTGCTTTGCAGCTACCCTTGGGATTAAATCAAAACCTTTTGACTTACGAGTCCTATTCTTTTTAAAAATGTACTTAGAAGTACTTATAATTTTTATCTTT